AATCTTGACCCTCTTGAAAGGGGTGGACAAAACAACCTTCACACCAACCCTGGACCCCAAAATGACTGCTATTGGCAAATCCTGTTTTACGTCAACATCAGTCAGAAATAACAACCGTAACATACGTTCCCTGTTTCAAAAAGATATTTCAACAACCCCACATTTATTACTCACTGGTCCGGTTTTGTCGATAATCTACACTGGGGAAAAATCTGGTCTCTCCCATACAAATACCTCCTGACTAATAAAGTAAGGGAAATCTCTTTTAAAATGATACACAAATACTATCCCACCAAGCATTTTCTTCTTAGGTTCAAGAAGGACATCCCTGTTGAGTGTTCATTTTGTGGAATGTACCCTGAAACAATGGTTCACTTGTTCTGGCAATGCCAGTATACCAACACATTTTGGAAAGTTGTATCCAGATTTATTATTGAACACATTGACTCTGACTTTATGCTATACTGGAAAATGTACTATTTGGGTTCTACAAAAGTAAGGAAAAAAACACTAAACAAACCATTATAAATTTAATAATCATTCTCGCTAAGTTCCATATCCACAAATCCAGATGGAATAATTCAAAACCTCTTTTCTTAATTTTTGAAGCAGAAATAAAGCAGTACCTGAGTTCTATTCTGGATTCTAAAAACAAGAAAGCTGTTAAGACTGGCTATATGCTCCTTATTTGAAATTTTTGCCAAAAAATCCCCTGGCTTCTTTTTTGTTTAAACATTTGTAATATATGTATGTATTAATAACATGTTCGTTTTGAGATTAGGGGATTAGATTTGGGCTATTGTTAAGCAGGCCCAGTCCCTCTTGCTGACACTAATGTCACACATCCCATGATGCATTGCACCACATTTGAGCGACACCATTTTGTCAGGATAGGAAACATTGGAAACAAACGGAGAGTCAGAGCTTTCCCATTCGAATCAGAAGAGTCGTAGGATATTTAGCTGGATTTACATCAAGACTACTTTGTCAGTCGAATTGAAATCATTCCGAATGAAGATCTGTGGTCACCTGTTCACATATGACATGATCTTTTCTGCCTCGGCTGCGCCTAGGAATTCTTATGAACAGAATCTGTGATAAAGGGCAGCCTTGGTGGAGTCCACCCCTAGATAGATAGATAGATAGATAGATAGATAGATAGATAGATAGATAGATAGATAGATAGACAGACAGACAGACAGACAGACAGACAGACAGACAGACAGACAGACAGACAGACATTGGGAATTCCAATGTGATGGGGACTGGGACGGTACAGTATAAAAAAATGCAGATGGGAGCAGGATTATACAGTCGGAAAAAAAATGTTGCATGAAATATCCTCCTGACTACCAGGAAAAAAATGTTGTCCAATCACATTTATTTTGAAATTCTCCAATCTATGTGAAGTAATTGGTATACTGCAAAAGAAATTTTTGAAATTTTTATTTTTGTTTTTAAGCTTTGATGTGTCTTCTACAGTGGACATCGGAACCCAATACAGGGGAAACGGAACTTCATTCTCAAACAGTTAGTCCAACAAAAATATCAAAAAGTCAACTTGACTAAGTGTTCAACATAAACATAACTGTTCATCATCTCTTTTCTTTTTTCACTTTCGTTTCTATTAAGCTTATTTGGTATGATACTTCAAAAAGCGGGGCGGCCCGGTAGTCCAGTGGTTAGCACGTCGGCTTCGCAGTGCAGAGGTACCAGGTTCAATTCCAGCTCCGGCCTCCCTGTGTGGAGTTTGCATGTTCTCCCCGTGCCTGCGTGGGTTTTCTCCGGGTACCTCCCACATTCCAAAAACATGCATGGAAGGCTGATTGGGCACTCTGAATTGTCCCTAGGTATGAGTGTGTTGTTCGTCTCTGTGTGCCCTGCGATTGGCTGGCAACCAATTCAGGGTGTCCCCCCGCCTACTGCCCGAAGACGGCTGGGATAGGCAAGCACCCCCCCGCGACCCTAGTGAGGATAAAGCGGTTCGGAAAATGGATGGATGGATGGATGGGTGGATGGACTTCAAAAAGCAATTCCCTTTCTTGGAAACACAAAGGAAAAGCGTATCGCCTATGATCTTGCAGTCCTTTGGAACCCTGTTATTCATGAGGGTTCCAGTCGCTGTCAGTCCTTTTGTCATCAGGGTGTCAAGGAGGCTGATTGTTGTAAAGTACCTGTCAAAGAACAGGTGGGTGCCTTGAGGAACAGACTATGGCAATTGAATAACAGCTTGTTCCCCGATGCCTTTTCCTCCTGTAGCTGTGAAAGTTGTCTTGCCTTGGTAGACCACAAAATCCAAAACTAGACCAGTTGGTGCAGCCCAGACAAATACCTTCAGTCCAGTTGGTTTTGGTTTGCCCGGTACATACTGGCGCACTGGGCATCGACCAGTAAAAGGAACCATTTGCTCATCAATGCACAATTTTCCTGTTTTTGTCAGACTCAGACATCCTTGCCTTACTTTGCTCAAGAGAGGCCTGATTCTCCACAAGAGATCACTTGTTTTTTCTTCATCTGAAACATCAAGGTCGTTGACGAGCTTGATGGAGTTTCTCAATTTGTAAAACCGATTTCTGGTCATGGATTCCGCCACAATTTCGACTCCAGTACTTGAGGCCCAATACATTTGAATGTTTTGATATCCTAGACAGCCCATGTAAATAGAATTCCCAAAGAATGTCTTCAGTTCTTCAGGTATGGTATTTAACATTGCTTTAGACACAAGTACTTTACGCTTGTGATTTGTGTACAGGGCCATTTCTTCAAACACAGAGTCATCAATGTATTGCTTAAAATAATCCACCGGGGTCCAGTTTTGGCGTGTCATAGCAGCATCATGTCATCTTCATCAGACAACTCAATGTCTGAGTTTCCATCAACAATCCGCAGTAAAAATCCCTCTGCTTTTCAGAATGACTCCCATTCTTGTCATTTGGGAAAAAAAGAGCAAAATGGACGAAATAACTTCAAATGTCCACTACAGAGGACATGTTTTAAAGACTTGAATACTAGGCTCAAATACACTTAAAATAATTCAAACAACACTTTAACGTGTTCATAAGAGTCTTATAAATAAAATGCCAACAGCATTTCAAGACAAAATGTGTTTGATAAAAAGTATTAAATAATTACTTTTCCTCTTCCCATAAAAAGTGCTTGCACTGAGGGAAGCCATTTTCTTCTCCTGTGAAGTCTAGGTAACAAAGCCCACCCCCTACAAATTTGGTATCATTGGAAAGCACTGAATGTCCTCTTTAGAGCACAAAAGGAGTTAATGCAATTGGATGCACTGGGTGGGAGATATTTAGGTTTAGAAATGTCCTCTACAGAGGACAAATTTGAACTACTGGTAGTCAGGAGGATATTGAGAAATCCATGAGGAAGCACGGGTTGACAAACTGTTCAATAAAAGAGTAGAATGCAACTTTTGTTGTTTGTTTGTTTGTTTTTTTTTTAATGTAGCATTACAGAAGTGGGATTCATGCTGAACGGGAAGAGGACGTGATGGGAGTTGTGACCGGAACAGGCACTCTTAATTAATCAATTACTTAATTGATTAATTACTGGTAATTACCATTGTCTGGTATGAGACTGGATTTTTTTTTTTTCCTGTGAGAGTGGAATGGGACGGGACAGGAGTGAGAATCCATTAGTTCATATAAAACTAAAGAAAATGGACGGCTGGATGGATATTTGTATTTTTATTTGTCAAATAAATGCTTTGGCCTGAAAACAAGTTTGGATCTTTGCTTTCATTCTGTTATCGAATAATTATTTTAAATCTATGAAGCTTCGAACTTTGAATGTTTACGCAAAGAGAAATGTGAGAAAATTAATGCCTGTCTGAGAAAAGGCTATAAAAGCAGGGGTCTCCAACTCCAGTCCTCGTGAGCCCGGACCCAGCCTATTTTACATCTAACGTTGTTCCAACACAGGTGATTCAAATGATCGGGATCATTTTCGCACTTGTGCAAAGTTTGTTGATGATTTTATGATGAATTGCTCACCGTTCAAAGCCCTTCAAAGAGCATTTTTTAAATCCAAGGCTTTGCTGACTTTTTCTTCTGAGTCCAGTGAATGTTTATATGGTATTTTCAATAAAAACAAGAAAAAATGAGTGTGGTATTAGTTTAAGCAGACTGTTCTTTTTTTTCTTGTAACGTTGATGATCAAAGCACATTTAGAGAATTTTATGCAGAACTTAAGAAAGGCTGAAACCTGTCTTACCGCAAAGCATTTCTTATTTTTGTAGGAAAAGAGGAAAAAAAACAATATTTTGGTCAAATTATAGTTATTATGATCTGGTCTTTATGACATATACAAGTGCTGATCTTGACAATGTATATTTAATAATCTTAAGGTTTGCTTGAAGTTTATTGTTCATCTGTTTAGATTTGCCTGTTTAAAATCGCCAAAGAAAGAAAATATTTTGTCTAAATTCAAGGGTTCACGAAATAATACAAAACGCAAGGCCTTTTTTTCTTTTTGCCAAACAGTTCAAGACAGACCTGGTCTACTTACAACGAACTCCCAGATGATATAAAAACTTGGAAATCACACTGGCAGGATTGTATCTAGTTCTCTCATGGCAGATAACATTCAGCTGGAGTTGCAAAATATCTCGATAGTACAACTTTTACGAGGAGAAATAAAACAGGGTCAGGTCAATCAAGAATCGACTTTTGGCTGATTTCAAAGAGTGTTTACAAAAGCGGTCGTCATAATTCTATTTTTGTGTGTTTCCAGCAGGTGGCAGAGGAGGGCCTTCCCTCCAACCTGCACACCTGCTCCCAGTCATAATCAGTCAAGTATTTAAGGACTTCCAAGTTGCCAACTCTCCGTTGGATTATCTTGCTCTTGACTTTATCTCCAAGTGTTGAATTCTGTAGACGATCTCTCTTGTTCCCCCTCCATGAGCCGTCACCTTACCGTGGTGGAGGGGTTTGTGTGTCCCAGTGATCTTAGGAGCTAAGTTGTCTGGGGCTTTATGCCTCTGGCAGGGTCACCCGTGGCAAACAGGTCCTCAGTGAGGGACCAGACAAAACCCGGCTCAACAGACCCCTTATGATGGATAAGATAAATAGATCTGAGTTTCCCTTGCCCGGATACGGGTCACCGGGGCCCCCCTCTGGAGCCAGGCCTGGAGGTGGGGCTCGTTGGCGAGCGCCTGGTGGCCGGGCCTACACCCATGGGGCCCGCCCGGGCTCAGCCCGAAGAGGCAACATGGGTCCCCCTTCTCATGGGCTCACCACTTATGGGAGGGGCCAAAGGGGTCGGTCGGGTGCAATGTGGGCTGGGCGGCAGGCAAAGGCAGGGACCTTGGCAGTCCGATCCTCTGCGACAGAAGCAAGCTCTAGGGACTGTCACCTCTCTTGCAGGGAAGGAGCCCGAGCTAGTGTGTGAGGCAGAGAAGTTCCAACTGGATATAGTCGGACTTGCCTCCACACACAGCCTGGGGTCTGGTACAAGTTCTCCTGAGAGGGGTTGGACTCTCTTCCACTCTAGAGTTGCCCACGGTGAGAGGCATAGAGCTGATGTGGGCATACTCGTTGGGGGGCAACACCTGTACATTGGGGTTCACACCGGTAGATGAGAGGGTTGCCTCCCTCCGCCTTCAGGTGGGGGGACGGGTCCTGACTGTTGTTTGTGCCTATGCACCCAACAGCAGCTCAGCGTACCCACCCTTTTTGGAGTCCTTTGAGGGTGTGCTGGAAAGCACCCCTGCTGGGGACTCCCTCGTTCTGCTGTGGGACTTCAATGCTCACGTGGGCAATGACAGTGAGACTTCAAAGGGCGTGATTGGGAGGAACGGCCCCCGCGACAAGAACTCGAGTGGTGTTTTGTTATTGGACTTCTGTGCTCGTCACGGATTGTCCATAACGAACACTTTGCTCAAACATAAGGGTGTCCATATGAGCTGTGGGTCGTGACCGAAAGAACGAGATCCCGGATACAAGTGCCCGAAATGAGTTTTCTCCGCAGGGTGTCCGGGCTCTCCTTTAGAGATGAGGTGAGAAGCTAGGTCATCCGGGAGGGGCTCAGAGTCGAGCCGCTTCTCCTCCACATCGAGAGGAGCCAGATGAGGTGGCTCGGGCATCTGATTAGGATGCTTCCTGGACGCCTGCCTGGTGAGGTGTTCCTGGCATGTCCCACCGGCAGGAGGCCCCGGGGATGACCCAGGACATGCTGGAGAGACAATGTCTCCCAGCTGGCATGGGAACGCCTCAGGGTTCCCCGGGAAAAGCTGGAAGAAGTGGCTGAGGAGAGGGAAGTCTGGGCTTCCCTGCTAAAGTTGCTGCCACCGCGACCCGACCCTGGATAAGCAGTAGAAAATGGATTGATGGATGGCTGGATCTCTCTTGTTCATGCCATGCATTTTCTCACTTTTTTTTTTTTCATGCTTCAGAGTAAGTATTTTTTTGAGCTTACTCTCGGTTTTGTGTCGTTCACGTTTAGGCTATGGTCTTTTCTTTTCATGACAAGCTATTTCCGTTTGTTGTCATTGCCCGATGTAAGTGTTTTTGGTTTTGTTCTTTTTTTCTGATTATTTTCACCATTTGTTGTACTTTGTCATTGCTTTTTTTGTTGTTGTTGTTGTTGTTTTTTTTTTTTTGGTATTGATAAATTCTTTTTGTTCAATTCCATCTGAGTCCATGTTTTGAGAGTCCGATTCTGTTCTAGACCCTTCCGGAACCGTAACAGCGGTACAGTCATCCCTCATTTTTCGCACTTAATGGGGACCAGAACCTGCCTGCGGGGAAACTTTCTCTCTCATGCATCAACATGAAACAACACATCTTTCTGTAATATTGTGTGTGCGCTGTGGCATGACCTTAAAAAGGCAGTTCATGCTCGAAAACCCTCTAACGTGGCAGAATTACAGCAATTTTGCAAAGATGAGTGGGCCAAAATTCCCTCACAGCGCTGTGAAAAACTCATTGCAAGTTATCGCAAATGATTGATTGCAGTTGTTGCTGCTAAGGGTGGCCCAACCAGTTATTTGGTTTAGGGGGAAAACACTTTTTCACACAGGGCCATGTAGGTTTGGATTTTGTTTTCCTTTAAATAATAAAAACTTTATTTTAAAAACTGCATTTTGTATTTACTTTTCTTACCTTTGACTAATTTTAAATTTGTTTAATGATCTGAAACATTTAAGTGTGACAAACATGCAAAAAAATAAGAAATCGGGAACAGGGATATCACTTTTTCACACCACTGTATGGGTTCATTTATTCTCCAAACTGCTTATCTGCAGTAGGGTCACGGGCATACTGGAGCCAATCCTAGCTGTTTTTGGGCGAGAAGCGGGGTACACCCTGAACTGGTCGCTCGCCAATTGCAGGGCACACAATGATAACAACCGTCTGCGCTCACACTCGCACCTTGGGACAATTTAGAGTGTTCAATGCATGTGTTTAGAATGTGGGAGGAGACCCGAATGTGCCTTATTTTGGACAGCTGATTCCTGTTATCTCAATGATTGGCATGGATAATATTATGGTGTTGAGTGAGTTGGTGTGTTTTGGATTCCCGCAATGTGTGGATTGTTTTTTTTGGGGGGGAGGGGGGGTTGCATTTAGTTGACAGTTTGTCATGTTTGCTTCCATGTTGTTGCTGTGATTTCAACATTTCCATTTCTTTATGGTGTGATTTTTTTTTTGGGAGGGGGCATTTATGTGTTTATGTTTCTGCGATTGGCTGGCCACCGGTTCCGGGTGTCCCCCGCTGACTGCCCGAAGACAGTTGGCTCGAGCATGCCCCGCGACCCTTCTGAGGATAAGCGTCTCAGAAAATGGATGGATGGATATTTATGTTTTTTGTTTGCATGTCTCCTGTGTTTGCAGGCGTTTGTAGAATTTTTTGTTGTGCGGTTGTTTTGTGTATTTTTTAGTTTGCATGTGTGTTTGTCTTTTTCTTTGTTTGCATAATATAGTTTTCGTTTCCAGCAATCCCATGTTTGCAGCATTTGGCCCTGTGTGGCACGTTTGCACCTGTCGGCCACTTCCATTTTGTCCACTTTCATCCTCTTTTTTTACCATTTCATTCTTTATAATTATCACAAGACATTAGTGGAGCAAGCAAATCTACTTTCCCTCATTGGAAAAATAAAATGTTTACTATCTAGCAAACTGGCTATTTTTGCTACTTCATGGCTGGCCTGGTCCTGAACCCCCACAAAATAACGGGGGTCCACTCTGCAGAAATATATATTGTAGCACTATTTTTATTTATGTAGTCATTTATTAATCCTCATTCGCATATTTGGAATTGACGGAAACAAAAAGGAATTAAATGAATCAAGTTACATTACCTTAATAATGTGGTACTTGGATTATGTTACAAACGACATATTTTAACAGGTAACTAGTCACTGTATCAGAATACATTTTAAACCCTCCCAACACTAGTCATACACGTGTTAAAATCCCAAGTTGTAGTTTTAGAAAGAGTGTAGTGGGGATACATGGTATGTGTCCAAGTAGAGGTTTAAACATACTCGCAAGTACGTTCGAACGTATTTGCCAGTCAAAATAATTTTACTCCACATTGTCATCTCCACGATTCCGTCCAGGTCGGTGTACAGTAGACACTTTTTCCTGTGCCCTGGCTACGTCTATGTTTACAAACATTTTGACATTGTGTAGACAAATCCAACTTCATACCTTACCCACCAATATATAAAACGCATGTAATTTTCCACATAATGTAAGTGAAATAAAACCATGGGTCATTTTGGAAAACCCCGACAAACATTCACAAAATAATGCACAGTCTCTTTTAGCGGTGCGCGTTGCCGAACACACGCACATACTCGTGCGATCTGTGCCTTCTCAAGCTGACTTCCTGCACTCGCGCGCATATCATCAGGTGGCCATTGCGCTGCTCAAAGCCTGCTCAAACTGACCCCAGAGCAGCAGGTCCCGGCGACGCGGTTATCTCCAAGCCCTTCCTCCTCATCCAGCTCTTAGCATCGTCAATATCCTCCTGCTTTCTCTCGTGCGACCCCTCCCCCAAATGTGGTCTCTCCTCATGAATCTCTTCCGCGTGCGTTTGATTGACAGTTAAAAGATAGGAAACTGGTTCTACAACGTCACGCCAACTGCATCCTGTAGTTTGTATTTGTTTTGTTTTTAATTTTTTTTTCGTCGTTTTACGGCAGTTTTTTTCTCTCCTCCTATCTGTGGAAGAAGCAACATTTTTTCGTCTCCCCAGGGGATTCGCCCCCACCTCTCCTTTTCCCTCTCTGAAGCTGTGAAGCGTCCTCCTCTTGAGGTAGTGGAGTTGTAGCCTAGCAGGTGTCGCCTCCGTCCAAGACTCAACAGCATGTTAGATCCGTCTTCCAGCGAGGAGGAAGGGGATGAGATCCTGGAGGTACAGCGCAAAGAGGTGGCGGCTCCGAAAAGCCTCAAAGGAGCGCGGCCCTCACCGAGCCGAGACACCGACGGCCACAGCGGCGCGGGTGGGCTGCAGCCGCGGGGCCGAGCGGGCAGCGGCGGGCGAGCCTCAAGCCCCAGCCCGTCGGTCGGAAGCGACAAGGAGAAGGAGGACATTGAGAAGATGCAGAGGGAGGAAGAGGAGAGAAAAAAGAGACTCCAGCTCTACGTGTTTGTGATGCGTTGCATCGCATATCCGTTTAACGCAAAACAACCCACTGACATGGCCAGAAGGCAGCAGAAGGTAAGATCAGGTGAAAAAAAAGCCCAGCGGATCACACGCCCTGTGATTGTGCATCGCTCACACACACATACAGTACAGTACGTGGACAAGTCTCCTGACACAACTGTTGCTTCCAACATGTGCACAAGCAGAAGTACCCTTTGTTTGAATTTTCGGGATGTGGAAATGGGTAATTTCAGATTGTGAAATGGCTTAATTGCTGAAAATTGATTGAGTAAACTTTAATGTGCAGGGTTGTTTGACAGCAATTAAGGAAGTGCAGAGGCGTGGCTCTGACTCCCCTTTAGTCTCAGTTTAAGACCTAGTAAACATGATGGAGTGGAAAAAAAGTGAATTGAAGACAAAATCTAGATATACAAACAACATGCTAAAATGGCAGTCATCAAATCCAAATTTGTGGCTGCAAATAGGTGGAATATGCTCAGGAAACACCAATTTGTGGGTTTAATAATGTGCCCAAAAGCAATTTGTGACCATCAATTAGAATTTTGTGACGACATTACATTTATCATAATGTATTTGTCTCTTTTGCACATCATGCAGGTCAATGAAGGGTTAAAAAATCATTGTCAAGGGAACAGAGACGACTTTTTTTTTCAAACAAGAAGCTGAGAAAATAGAGAAAGGTGAGATGAGAGAGGACATGTGTATTCATGGTCTTCACATCCATTGTAGAAGCTCTTGCATCAGTGCAGATGAATGAAGCGGCAGTGTTTTTTTTTCTTACTAGCTTGTGAATCATCCAATTTACTGTAGAAACTGCTCCTTTGCATGACCTACCCAAGGCACTGAAAAATAACATCCTCTCTTCTGCGCTTGACATTGAGAAAACACCTTCCATCTGGGATTATCGCATGCCATTCCAGAGCGATATTTCCACATTTAAAAGACACAATCATGGTGAGGGATGAACACATACCTGTCGGTCTGAGGCTGTAGGTCATCTTACAAGAGTTGCTGTTTGTGATTACACACTGGTAAATGATCCTACAACATTCATATCGCGTGCACTATCGACAAAATGAAATTCTTCTTAAAAATTAAATGAGTCTTTTGATACCTTTATTGTCAAAATCTAACCAGGAGCGATCAAAGCACATTTTAAAATAATATTTTCAGTTATTTGTCAAGATTTCAGCAATTCATTTAAATGTGATCTTTGTTGTATGTGTAAGTGGCACTTTTTGCCCTTTCAATCATCCCTTTTGATAGTTCCACTTCATAGCATTTCAGTTCACAGTCCTTGACTTGGAGAGAGTTTGTCAGTGTATCCATTCCCAAAGACTTCCTGTTTTCTGTATTTATCTTTCTCATGTGAGAAAATGGCAGCCCGGTGGTTGACTGGTTAGCCCATCGGCCTCACCGTGCAGAGATGCAGGGTTCCATTCTGGCTCCGGCCTTCCTGTGTGAAGTTCGCATGTTCTCCCCGAGCCTGCGTGGGTTTTCTTCGGGTACTCTGGTTTCCTCCCACGTTCCAAAAATGTGCGTGGCATCTTAATGGAACACTCTAAATTGTCCCTAGGTGTGATTATGAGTGTGAATGGTTGTTCGTCAATGTGTGCCCTGCGATTGGTTGGCAACTGGTTTAGGGTGGAACCCGCCTACTGCCCGAAGACAGCTAGGATCGGCTCCAGCACGCCACACGACCCTTGTGAGGATAAGCGGATCAGAAAATGGATGGATGGATGACATGAGAAAATGCCTGTGCACTGTCTGCATTGCTATGTGGTAGACAACATGTAAACACAGAGAACCTATTAGGCGTAGAAAAAAAAGTAGTGTGTTTCCGGTAACATGAAATTTCAGCATAGGGTCGGTAGGTGGACAAAGTTTTTTTTTTTTTTTTTTAATCTCCACCCCCCCCTCATCAAAAATGAAAACAAAATAACCATAAAACAAAAAACAAGGAGATAACAATCGTTACTGGTAGCTTGTCGTTTCCGTGGCTTCATTTTAACGGTACCGAAAAATAGTTTAACCATAAAAGTCACCGCACACGAGTTGACTGTGTGATCAACGCGATTTCACTGTGCCTGTATGTGTGTTTGTGGTGTGGTGTGTGAGTGTGTTTCTTCTAATTTACTTTCGTTTTGTTTTGTTTTCAGTGTTGGGGGGACGCAACAGATAACGTTATGTGTGCATGCGGGTTGCTATTTTAGTACGCAAACTGAGGAATCGCATGGATGAAAGTTTGAGATGGCGGCGAAAAAAACTCATAAAGGTCTACTAATTACGACATTTAAGAAATGGGAATGCCAGTCTGATTTTTCGTATGAATCGTCCAAAGGGCGTATCACTAAACTCACCTGGGACGTATGCACAGAACACGAGAGCGAGATCCGACGAGAGGCACGATTACGAGGCAAGTTGGTCATTAGATTTGTAGGCTAATCGCTATGAAAAATATTATGAAACAGTATTGGTTATTCTATAATTTACTGGTTGTAGCATGGTAGGTTTATGAATAAAACATTCGTCACAAGGTGTAGTAATGCTAATGTTAACTGTTGGTAGAACTAATGATGACGTGTGTTAAATTTGAAGGTTGTTTGAAAAAAAAAATAATTTTTTTTTTCGAGGTAGAAATTCTCGGTCGGTCGGGTTACCGGAAACACACTACTTTTTTTTCAGCAGATGGCTGTAAAAACCCATCCGCCGGGTACACAACTCTCTCGCCGCCTTTGGCGGCGAGCGGGGTTTCAATGTCTCCTTGTTTTATGTTTTATGGTTATTTTGTTTACATTTTTGATTGGGGGGGGAGATTAAAAAAAAAAAAAAACTTTGTCCGACCTACCGACCCTATGCTGAAATTTCATGTTACCGGAAACACACTACTTTTTTTTCTACGCCTAAAGATATATTGTATTGTTGTGCGGTGACGCTACCATTCAAACAACGGTGCTAAATACACAGAACTAAATACGTCAGCCTATCATCAAGCCTGTTACTTGATTGACATACAGGGCAACCAATCAGATGACAACTAAATCACTGCTTATGCGTAAACAACGGTGCTTAGCACTTATGATTGACAAACAGGGCAACCAATCAGATGACAACTGAATCATCGCTCGTGCGCAAATAACGGTGCTCAGTGGTAAGCGCTAAGCTAGTCAGCTTTAAAGGTAGGGGTGACCAATACGTCAATCGTGATCGACCCGGAGCCAGCGGACTGGTCCCAAGTCCAGCGCAAGCGTTGAGGAAATGAGGAAATTCGTGTTTTGTGCATACATCACACGTCATCTTGGTAATACGCCCTTCTTCGGGTGATTCGAAAGAAATACTGACTGGCATTCCCATTTTTTTAAATGTAGTAACTAATACACCTTTCGGTGTTTTTTTCGCCGCCATCTCTGTCCATCATACACGCGCTTTCTCAGCGTGCAGACTAAAATAGCAACCTGCATGTGCACATAATGTTTCCTGTCCCCCTCACCTCCACCACTTAATAAAAACAAAACGAAAGTAGAACAGAAGAAAAACATTCACACTCCACACCACAAGCACACATACAGGCACAGTGAAATCACGTTGATCACACAGGAGAAATTCTATCGCGTACAGTCAACCAGTGCGCAGTGATTTTTTATGGGAAAAAAAATTTCGGTACCGTACAAATGATCCCACGGAAACGACACGCTACCGGAAACGATCGTTACTGTGAAATCCTCAGGCCTGAAATAGCTAGTTTGTAATTCACTCTCCATGATTAAAGGAAGAGGATATGCCTTAAATTGCATTTTGAGGTCTTTTTCATCCACGGTCCATGGATTTAGTTTGTTTCCAGTATCCTGCCTGACAATGCACTTACAGTTGCGTTTCTGAAATCTAAACGGCCATAGTTGATATGTTGTGTTTACTTTTTTTGTTTTTAAACACGCAAAAGTGTTTTATAAAATAAAAGACGGACAAGCCCAAGGGCATCAGTTTTATTGTTCGATGCTTTGCCCGGCACAACATCCCCATCTCGTCTTCCTCAGCTCACTGTAAATGTCGGGTCGTGCTCTGGGAGCAGTTAGTGTTAGCATAGAGCGCTAACTTTTCTTCTTCTTTTCTTCTTTCTTCTTTCTACCCATTATCTTGCTGCTTTGGACTGTAAATTTCCGCAGTGTGGGACAAATAAAGGATATCTTAAATCTTAACTGCTGATCCCAACAGTAACCAAGTGCCATGGGGCCCTGAGCCAGTACAAATTTTGTGTCCACATTTAGAAAGTAGTCGTGCTTCACTGATATTTAAACAAAAATAAACAAGTTGAAAAGAGAAAAGGAAAGGTCAACAGTGAGATGGAGCTGCTGAAGAAGGCTGCTGCTTTCACAATGCCTTTGATCAAAAAGCTTTAAGGTCATTAATATCTCAAGATATTAACATAATTTGAAATTCTACAGCGCGTGGCACACCGACAATTCCATTAAAATGGCTGTTCTTCTAAACTGACAAGCTGGGCGACTATCATTGCTCAGGGAAGCATCAAAGAGGTCATAGGTAACAATGAAGGAGCTGCAGAGTTCCACATCTCAGGTGGGAGATTCCATGAGTCAAGCATTCTACATTGTGGGGAAAAAAAGGGGGTGCCATTTGCAATTATGGAAAACATGGATTAACATGTGAAAGTCAAATAACAACAAACACATTTTTGGCTTAAACCTTGTTCCAGAAAACCATAAGGCAGGGCTCAGCAACCTTTTTGAAGCGGAGCGCTACCTGAATAAATGAGTGAATGAATGAACGTCTTTGTCATTCATTGTCATTGATTTGAAAAAAAGAAATTGAAGTGATTCTCACATTCATTCATTCATTCATTTCCCGATCCGCTTCATCCTCACAAGGGCCGCGGGGGGTGCTGGAGCCTATCCCAGCCGTCTTTGGGTAGTAGGCGGGGGACACCCTGAACCGGTTGCCAGCCAATCGCAAGGCAAACAGAGATGAACAACCATCCGCACTCACATCTAGGGATAATTTTGAGTGTTCAATCAGCCTGCCATGCATGTTTTTGGAAT